GCATATTAGATCAAAGATCGAGTGTGATTCATTCTTGTCCAAATGATTTTGGCAGGAGGGCAGTACTGAAGAGGTTAGTGTTTGATTAACTGAAGAATCAAAATACTTTTGGTTCTTTCTGTACAAGTTATATATGGGTATGTATACATACATATCTTATCATAGAAATTGGTGTCCTTCTCAGAGATCCGTCAAAACAATCCTCCTCTCTTCGTCAGTTAAAATCCATGGCATTCAGCTGGATCTGCACAACTGACAAAGCTTGTGTGCTCCATGCCAGAAGCCAGATTTCTGGATCATCCTCTACACATTGGACACAGTCCTCCTGGCCCAAAGACAAAACTCAGGGTCAAGTCACAGGTGCTGCTGTTAGAGGATGGGGAACCAAGCTGCCATGGCTGGATGCATCATGAGCTATCAGGAACAACGGAGCGGACAGAGGCTCATGCACATCATAGAAAGAGATGGAGATGTGGGTCTGTGGAAAGGAATGTGTCTGCAGCCAGGTAGATTCCTTCCCCCACCCATATCATCTCATCAACTTCGGACCACATTATTGACGTACACTTTTTCATCAAACAACAACAATGTTTGCTGGGAGCAAAATTAATAACATCGGTTGAATTAGCAAAAAAAAGAAAAAAAAAAGTTGAAGTGCATGGATCGACAATTCCATCCTTCTTGCTTTCATAGGGGAAAGAATAGTAGCAAGCTTCCAATCCTTGCTTTGCTTTTGCCATCAGCTATCCATTTTTCTAGGCTTTATTTTGGATGCAGGCCCACACCCCTGAGGTGTGCGTCTCCCTTTGGTTTCCCTGATGAAGAAAGTACTTGTGTTTTGCTCTCCATCAGCTGAAGGGTTGCAGTTCCTGTGGCTGCAAAAGAATTTGGATGGTTTGCTCATCTATTTGAGGTAACAAAAAGAATTCGTTTGGATGATTATTAATCCTAAAATATTAAGCTATCAAGAAAGTGTTTAATTTAGCATGTGAGTTGGATTATACTTGACACTAAAACTAAACTCATATGCAAATTATTTAGAAAGAACATTGCACAGATATTAATCGAACAATACTTGAAATAGAAAGAAGCAGACTCATAATTCGTTTTGCTACCATTATAATAAATAATTCAATTAGACTATCATAAATTTCAAAAGTTGACTAGGAAAAGACCCAATTTATATTGAATTCATGGTTGTGGCTTGCATCAACTAACATGGGGGGTTTAAAGAAAAATCGAGACTTCTTTTAATGTGTGCAAATCATCTTACTATTAGTAGATGCAAAATTATTTTCAATATTTAAAAATTATTGTAATTATTTATATTTTTGAACCTTATTAGTTTGAAGCTTCCTTTGCAACATCCCTAGCTTATTCTCACGTTGGAATTGTGAAAAGGTTTAGGTTTGATGAATGTACTGTCATTAATCCGAGCTTAAACATTTTGGATCACATCCTCCCCCAAACCTATCAAGTTAATAGGTTAGATATCTCACCGAATTATGGAATATTTATTTTTTGACTAGATTTAAAATAAAAATCATGAGTATTTGATTCCTACGTACGCTAATAATAATAGTTTAATGTTAATTTTTAAGTATCGAATAGGATAATTGATTTATTAATATGAGTGAATCTGAACCATCGATCCATTAATATCATTGAGTCTGAACTATTGACTTAAGATACTAAAACCTAAATTAATAATAATACATATTACCAGATCCTCTTATTGATGATTCGAAACCTCATTTAATATATTTTTATTATAAAAAAAAACTTATCAAATCTTTATAGGTCAATCTTAATTTAATTTATTTTCGATGTTAAACCAAATTTAAATTTAAAATAATATGCCAACAGACCCTTATAAGATTAAATCACTTATGTGGAACTAAATCATTATGTTATAATATACGCAGTTATTAATATGAGATTCAAGTGGGTGTAGGTCTTGAGTCAGAAATTTACATGTATTCCTTGTTATTTAGGTTTGTATTTAATTAATAATAGTTATTCTTCAGATTTGCACCATATATTTGGATTTGTTTCACATGTTAGACATAATCCGGCTTGCATTTCAAGAAGATGTTAAAATCTAATATATATATATATATATATATATATATATATATATATATGTGTGT